CACCCAGGCGGGTGTCCCTGTGGGGACAGGGGGGGCTGGTCCCCCCATGTGTCCTCACACCTGGCTACATCTCAGGGCTCAGCGTGGACGGGGACGATGCTGGGCAGCCCCCAGCTCTCCTGAGGTCGAGGTAGTGAGAGGGCTAACAGCATGACTGCGGGCTGAAGCTCGCCTGTCCTCACCTGGGAAAGCTTTTCCCAGTCCAGTCCAAGCTTTTCCTCCTGGGCTAACTGGGCAGAGTGGGCTCAGGGGGATGTCTCAGCCCTGTATGAGGGTGACCGACACCATCGTTCCACGCTGGATGTGACTCTCCCGGGACCGGAGAGTGCTCAGCCCCTGGGCAGCAGCAGAGCTGAACCCCAGGACACCAACACCCCCAAACTGCCTGTGTTTCCCCCCACCCTGTCTGCCTGTGCCCAGGGTTACCCCGTCATCCGTGCACCGAGAAGTGTCAGGGCTCAGCAGCAGACTGGGCTTACCCAGCATGTCCTCAGAAACCGGGGTGCGGAGGATGTCCCCGGTAAACTCGCAGGAGGTCTTCTTGGCGTCGATCCCAGATGTTCCTTCAAACACCTGCGGAGACCCCGGGGCAAGAGGCGGGTGGGTGGCAATTAGCGGGGATTAGCGAGCGCAGAGGGCCGGGGGGCTCGGGGGCAGCCAGGCTCTCTGCGGGGAGGTGACGTGATCCGCGCTCACCCGAAAAACCCGTCAGGGAGAGGTGATAAAAGAGGGGGAGAAGCCCCGGGGTTAAGAAAACTCCCTTTGAGGGGCTTTGGCTGGGGGCGGGGGACACACACCACATTCTCATTAATGCCTGGGGCAGGGCAGGGAAACCAAAGGCACTTTGATCGGTATAATATTTGACACCGTTTGTATTAATTAACCTCCAGATCACGGCTTTAATTAGAGCCGTGTGGCCCCTTGGGAGAAGGGCCGGCTTGGGAATGCCGGGGGCACCCGGATGCCGGCAGGCACGAGGGCGGGTGATGGCCGCAGCACCTGGGGGCACGCAGGTCAGCCCCAGGCAGAGCTGCTGCTGCAAGTGCAAAAGGCTCTTTTTTTTTTTTTTTCCTTTTTTTTGGCCTTTTTCTGTTTTTTTTTGTCCTTCCCCCCTCCCGAGGCTGACTCCGTAATAGGATTAAAAGGGCGCTGCAGAGGTCTGGGCAGCATTAGAGGAGCGAGGTTTGGCGGCTCACCAGCCAGAACCCGGCCCCATCGGCTGTGCAGCCCCCCCCCGAGCCCTGGGCTGGCTGATTAGGGGGGGACCCAGGCAGGAGGGAACCCGGGCTAATTGGGCAGGACAGCCCCAAACGTCCCTGGTGCTCATGGTGAAACCCCAGCGCTCGGCTGCTCCGGTTTGGGGCACCCCAGGAACCCAGGGCCTGCCCCGGTCCTGGCCCCGCAGAGGGCTGGTGGCCGCGGGGCGGTGGCAGGAGGGTCCCCACTTTTCATTTATGCAGGGAGAAGGTGGGGATGGGGACAGGGGGGTCCC